ATATATATATATATATATATATATATATATATATATATATATATATATATATATATATATATATATATATATATATATATATATATATATATATATATATATATATATAACAGATCACTTGTAATACACGAGTACATATTGCATCCATATCTTATGTAACCACAACCTTCCAATGGAACGTGTTTGTCTTAATCATATATCTTCCGCAACGCAGGTTTGGCGTTAGTGGTTTTCCTACGCTGAAGTTCTTCCCAAAGAACAACAAGGCTGGTGAAGAATACGACGGTGGCAGAGATTTGAACGAATTTGTTACTTTTATCAACGAGAAGTGTGGAACTAGCCGAGACCCAAAGGGACAGCTGACTTCCAAGGTCTGTAGCACAGTTACCGACACAATTTTTTTTAATTATTTATTTAATTATCTCTGATTAATTTCTCTTTTTTCTTTTTCCTCCTAGGCTGGTATCGTTGAGGCCCTTGATACCTTAGTGAAGGAATTCATAGCCGCATCGAGCGACGACAAAAAAGCTGTATACAAACGTTTGGAGGAGGAAGCTGATAAGTTGACGGGCCCCACTGCAAGGTTTCCTATTGTATCTTTGATCACTCGTATATTGACATTTTAAATTGCTTGGTTCTAATTTTCTTCTCTAATTTTTTTTTTGTAGATACGGAAAGATCTACGTGAAGGCTGCCAAGAGCTGCATGGACAAAGGTTCCGATTATGCCAAGAATGAAGTTCTACGTTTGGAACGTATCCTTGCCAAGGTAAATCCTTGTCCCGTGTCTACACTTTTCTGTGATTATATAAGTTTGTTTTTCGTCATGTTCTCCTTGATTTATAGCTGGAAAAAGTAGTAGTTTAAAGGGTAAATTACAACCACCCCCTGAGATATAGTCAAATTACGAAAACCCCCCTCTTGTTTGGGTAATTACAACCACCCCCTCAACTATAAATCTTTTTACACGTCCACCCACCTTTGCGGTTTCAAATTTAGTGGAATATTCAAGATTATATGGAATATTATCACTTTTGTACCCGCCTTATCCAATTCGAACTCCACATTTTAAAGCAAGATGATCATAATATGTATTTTTCTGCTTGTATATATCAGATTGCGGGGCATCAGAAACTGTATTTCACACAAAACAAGTACAAACTAGAGCACATTCCACGAAATCTATATGATTATGTTGAATTTGACACCATAAGGGTTGAGGTGTAAGAAAAAATCATAGTTGAGGGGGTTAGATGTAATTATCCAAACAAGAGGGTTTTTTTTCGTAAATTGACCATACCTCAGGGGGTGGTTGTAATTTACCCTAGTTTAAATTAGCCTTCAATGAGTCTCCCTTATTGCAAATATATATCATTTTACGAGCGTATATGTAGCCTTTGTACCCGAGAAGTAAATATTGCGTAAAAATTGTAAGATTGTTTTTTTCATCATTGTTGTGGATGCAGTCAATCAGCGCAGCGAAGGGTGATGAATTCACACTAAAGAAAAATATCCTGTCAACCTTTGCTTCCGATCAGTGAAGATTTGCAGCTTATTGATGGATTCTTGTGTTCTTTCTGGAATTTCCACTGTCTGGAAAGTAAAAGTCGACTACGAGGAGCGGGAGTAATTATTATTGTTTCCACCAGTTAACACAAGGACCGGAGAAAGAAAAAAAAGTTAAAATTAAATACTTGTTTCCGACATTTGCAATAATGTAATATTGGACATAGGGGTTTTCTTTCTTACATTTACGACTTCGTTTTTGACAAGTGAATTAGTGACAGAAAAAAGTTGAGATCTAGTGAAGAATTTTCCGTTATTTAAGCTTCTGTGCTGTGATTTTATGTTAGTTTGATAGTTTAGCTTTCAGCAGCATAATTGATTTTTTTCCAAATCTTTTGCATCGGCCTGAAGAGGGATTGTGGATGACATTCCGTTGTCAAATTTCTTCCTACTTTAACTGAATATAAAAATATAATGAACATAAAAATAAATAAATAAATATAGTTTTTTTTGACATTAAAGTAAATATTTACGTAAAAAAAATGCCTCTAAATAATTTTCAAAAATAAGAGATAATTATAATTGTGTTCGTGTGGTGAAGAAGAGAAAAAAAATAATTAATAGGGAAGACCTCGTTTTAGAACTTTCTCCTCTGTAGAACTTAAATAAAATTAAGAAAATAATATACATTATTACTAATCATATAAGAATGGGGTTTGAATTTTTATTCTCGGTAGTAGTAATCTAGCAGATTTTAAAGGAAAATTAAACTACCCAAGTTAATATTTAAATAACAAATTTCATATATATATATATATATAATGGAACATGTAAAATTATTGGGGGGGCAACAGCCCCCCCTATGCATATAGAGGATCCACCCCTGAGGCTAGGGGTGTGAACGGGTCGGGACGGCTCGTTTTTTGGCAAACACTTACCGATAAATTTGGTTTTTCATAATTTAATGTAAGATCGTAAAGAAGTTCAATGGCGGATTGAGGTTGTTAACAGATCTTTAAAAAAAAAGAATTTCAAATATGAACTTTTGCATTCTGAATTATCCCAATTGACATACCTCAATTTGTGTAAGAAAAATAATTGCTGAAGATGTTTTCCCAATGCATAGTTGTTAATGTTATGTATCATTCTACCAAGATGTCTCACAGATTTTCTTATAAATTTTATTTTATTGGAGCATATGTAATTCTTTGTTGGTTGAGGTATCTTGTCATCTCAGCAAATTATTCATGACATTTTTTTCGAAAAATCAATATCATAGCATTTTTCTAAAACTAAACAAAAATAAAAATTAATTGCTTCATGGTATATCTTGTCATCTAAAAAGATAATTTATGATTTTTTTTTCTAAATTAGTATCATAATATTTTTCCAAAAAAGAGAAATAGAAGAGAGATTTAATTGCATGATGGCATATCTTGTCATCTGAAGAGATTATTCACCATTATTTTTCCCAAAAACAATATCATAACATTTTGTCAAAAGGAAAAAAAAAAAAAGGAATTTTTTTTAATTACTTTATGGCATATCTTATCAGTGGAAACAATATATTATCACCCATGTCGCACTCTTTCCTTCAGAAATACATCACCCGGGATCTTATCACGCATGAATACATTTGATCACATATTTATGTGTAAATAGTTTCTTCCCTTGACACAAATATACCAACTCAAAATTATAGAAATACTATTTTTCATAGCACAAACTATGGATTATTTATTCGGATAGTTTCCACAAGAAGAGTTAACGTATTTTCAATCATCAAGTTTGTCATCCACAAAGATGAAGAGTTTGTTTCCATTCTTATCGAAAGAAACTCAAGAGATGCTTCATTTTATTCCTCGAATAAATCATGCATATACAAAACAATCATCACAACAGTAGTATATTAATCATGATTGTGAAGGAAACCATCAACAAATTATGGAATGATTATTTTTATGATAATTTTATTTATCTTATCGCAACGTTTTAGGATGCACAAATAGATATTTTCTCGCATTTTGAATGATGGTGAAAATCATAACTCATACTTCACCCAGAAAAGATGCTCGTTGCATCGTTGCCCTATCATCAACTCAAAAAATAACAGCTACATTTCGTATACTTGCTTATGAATTTTCTGCAGATTATTGTGATCACTTTAAAGATTGGGGCATGACTGCAATAATGAGCTTAAAAATATTATGTTCCTCAATAATTGAATTGTACGAGGAACAATACGTGCCTTCACCAAATGAATGTGATATTCCGCGTTTACTTCAAGAAGATAAATCACGAGGATTTATTTTAGGTATGCTTGGTTCTTTGAATTGTATGCACTGGGAATAGAAAAACTGTCCAACTACTTGGCACGGCACACACTAAGGTTACCATCACAAAATTTTAGAAGTAGTTGCGTTCCATGAGTTTTAGATTTGGCATTCATATTGTGACATGACGGGCGCAAATAATGATATTAGTGTTGATACGCGTTTTCCTCACGTATAAATTACCGCAAGTATACGGTATCGCATTTTGCAGAACAGTGGTTCCGGATATCGATCCACAGGGACCTTGTAGATTCAAATGTTGAGTAGTGTAATTATATTATCGTTATATTATCTAGCCGATCGTAAATAAGTGGATTGGTGAGAAACCCTAATTTAAAAGCATGCAAGAACGTAAACATGCAAATATAAAATGTACGTAAAATAAAGTAACGACAACTCAACGCGGGGGACTTCGATTTAAGGGGGAGACGGCGCGAGCTCCTTCCTGAATTACCAGCCAATCACCGCCGAGAGCTAACATAATTACATTGCTCCCGATAAAACAGGAAAATGGACTTCTCCCCTCTATAAATGGGATAAAAATTATATGGGGGAATATAAATTTTTCCAAAAACTCAGAGAAACAGAAAGCAATCTTACAATTTTGTGAATGGGTT